GATTGAACCAACTAACCAACCGAACCAGGACCGAACCAGACCTAAAATCCTGGTTCGGTCGCCTTGGTTTACCCAGGCGCTCGCCCGAAGCGCCCAGGCGGCGCCTGTTTGAAGCACGCCGCCTGGGAGATTAGCGAGGCGCTCGGGTCTCGCCTCGCCCGAGCGCCTTTTTCAATCACTGTTCTAGGATAAGATACAGAAAGAGATCGAAGACAACATACGGTAGTAAAGATTGTAAGTCCTGCAAGACAAATGGCATCACGGAGGGAGATCCCTCAGAGTATCCATAGGCTCATGAACGATGCTGAAGCACTTCTGGACTCCATTCATGGTGTAGAGCATCGAGCTACTTGCAGCTGTCACCACTACATGGCCTGTACACTTCAACATCATCAATATCCATGTGGCTAACTCTGTTCTTACTACTGCAGCTCTCAGGTTCCATTGTGGTCAGAGAAGGATGGCATGTCAAGCTGGTGGTCGCAAGAGAGGAGGAGCTGGCGGTAACGTTTGACGTGGGCGATGAAGTTTGTGCTGGTGTTGGAGCCTCAGAGGAGGCAAGCGGCCTTGTTGTAGCCCCGGGCAGTAGCCTCTGCAGTCTGGAAGGTACCCAGCCACATCATGATCTTTTGCGTGGTGTCCTTGATCTCCACCACCCACTGTACTGAAGGCGTTTACCTGACACCCACAAACTTGCGGGTGCTGTTCTTGCTCCTAACCTTGTATTTGAGGCCAGGTTTCGAGTTGGGATTTGGCACTGGATTCCTTTGGGGTTTGAACTGGAGCTGCATGGATGTGAGATGGCGGGCTGCAGACAAGGAAGGAGATATATAGCACAGGGATGACCAAGGTGGTAGATTGCTTGTCATGGCTTTCTCGGTCACTTTTATTTAGACTTTGTGGTGTTCAAGTTGATGTTGAGATTGTTTGAGTTTGTGCTGAACATGTTTGTGGCCTTAAAGATATGTAGATAGATTTGGAGTTCCTCATGCTATTATTTGGCCAATCTAACCTTGGCTACAATGTCTTCCTTCCCATAATGGATTAATTGACATGGAAGCATCAAACTCTTCCAATCTCTTCTGGTCTTCCAGTTTCAGGTGTTTTTTATTTTACTGCTACTTTTTATTTTTGAGATTTTTAACGTGTAATGTTTGTCTAGAAGTTGATCCTTCATCCATCAAAAGAACAAGAAAATAAAAAAAAAGTGTCTAGTGTGTAGAATCTGGACATCTGGATAGCAGCTGTGTAAGATCCGAAAGTGTAGTAGAGCCAATACTTTCAGCAACTTGCCAGTGACAGGTTGTTAAGCAACTGTTCCAGTATACTGGTCTAGTATCTTTGGAAGAAAACATGTATAACTCATGGCTCAATTCACATGATCAATGAAACATAGCATTAGATATCTTTTGAACATCCTATTATCACTTTTCAGATGATTTCCTGATACAGCTAATATTAGATATTATACCAGGGACATTAGTTATCACTTTTAACCTGCATTTACCATACCTCATAACACATAATTCCATTAGATACTACACTTGAATAAGAAAACACATGCATGGTTGACTTTTCTCACAAAATTTGTAGGTGAGACAAAAAATACCATCCAAATGACGATTTCTTCTTGGAGATGATGACAATTGTCACAAGGACCTAATTTAATCTGAAATAACCGAAACCAATAACAATCCTGGCTCAAGTTCCACAACAACCCAATGTTCACAACATACAGAACAATGGCAAGTTCATCACTGACATGTCGTAGGTAGAGAACGAGACTACAATGCACAACCACATAAAGACCAATTCCCACAATGCAAACATGAATAGCCTAGAAATCCTCTGCCTCTTCATCATCATCATCTCCGCCCTCTGCTCCGACCTCCTCGTAGTCCTTTTCAAGGGCAGCCAAGTCCTCTCGTGCTTCTGAGAACTCACCTTCTTCCATCCCTTCACCAACATACCAGTGAACAAATGCTCGCTTTGCATACATGAGGTCAAACTTGTGGTCGATTCGTGAAAACACCTCGGCGACAGCAGTATTGTTACTGATCATGCACACAGCACGCTGAACCTTGGCCAAATCTCCTCCGGGCACCACTGATGGTGGCTGATAGTTGATTCCGCACTTAAAACCAGTAGGACACCTTCATGGCAGATGGTAAAGCAATCAATTCCAAAGCATGGCAACTCAACCTTGCAATTAAGAGAAGAAAGAGGAGGGATCTTGGTACAATAAGCTCACCAGTCAACAAATTGGACGGTTCTCTTGGTCTTGATTGTTGCAACAGCAGCATTAACATCCTTGGGCACGACATCTCCTCGGTACATCAGACAACAAGCCATGTATTTTCCATGCCTTGGATCACATTTGGCCATCATGCTGGATGGCTCAAATACAGCGTTTGTGATTTCGGGGACTGAGAGCTGCTCATGATATGCTTTCTCGGCAGAGATAACAGGGGCGTACGAGGAGAGCATGAAATGGATTCTAGGATATGGAACAAGATTGGTCTGGAACTCTGTGATATCCACATTGATGGCTCCATCAAACCTTAGGGAAGTAGTCAAGGAAGATATGATCTGAGATATCAACCGGTTCAAGTTGGTATAAGTTGGACGCTCAATATCCAGAGACCTTCTGCAGATATCATAGATGGCTTCATTGTCTAAAAGAACTGCAACATCAGTGTGCTCGAGCAAGGAATGGGTGGATAGGACACTGTTATATGGTTCTACAACTGCTGTAGAAACCTACAAGAAAAATACAGATGACCAATAATTTGTGCAAAAGAAAAAGATGACACACCAACTAAGCCACAAGTACCCAGCTATAAAGAGACCAGACACCAATCAATACTTATCACTAGAATCATATCCTCTACTGTACAGGATGGTCCAATGCAGGAGGACGACCATCCAACACCCGTCGAGATTTGTGCAGCCACATGACAGGTGGGTGTTGAAAGGCGTTCCTCTTTTAGAGAACAGTGCTATAGAGGATCTTGCAGATGTGCCCATGCTAAATCGTACATCAATACAAGGATACAATATTGATATGCTTTCAAAAATTGATCACTATATATTCATCTCCAGTTAACTTAATGTACTATGGTTTGCAGAAATTGTATGATAAATTTTAATTCTCATCAGCATTGCAATGAAACAAAGAACCAAATGAGACTTTGTTATGCAACTTTGTTATCCATTATCATTTTTCTAACAAGTCATCCAACTTACATCATGTATAAATAAGCTCACAATTTGCCACCATAGGCATTTGCATAAAAATGAACACATTTTCAACAGAGTTTCACTTGCTCTGGAGAAAAAAGCTTTTCAACTTAAAACGCCACTGTTAAATGACAAAACTATCCAATTGCTAAGAATATTAACATGATAATTAGGTTTTCTGGGTTCAATCAGATCATATATTAGCATCTTATGCCTTACAGAGTCCTAGAACATAGTTTTCACATCAATGACCAATAAAATCAGAATAATGTATGAAAGCATTAGAGTTCAACAACAGAGACCTAATTCACAGATATCAATCTATCAGACATTGACCATTGACTGAAAGTAAGGAAGCTTGCACAACTTGTTCATACCTGAGGAGAAGGATATATGGTAAAACCAAGCTTCGACTTCTTCCCATAATCCACAGACAATCGTTCCAAAAGCAAGGAGCCCAAACCAGATCCAGTTCCACCACCAACAGCATTGAAAACCAAAAACCCTTGCAAGCCAGTGCAATTGTCAGCCAGTTTCCTGACACGATCAAGGCATAGATCCACAATTTCCTTCCCCACTGCAGCTCACAAGACAATCCAAGGTTACAAACAGAATAAAAAGAATCTCTTCCACCAGAAACAATAGGTTTTCATGGGGTACAAAGAAAGGTGTCACTACCTGTGTAGTGGCCCCGCGCAAAGTTGTTAGCAGCATCCTCCTTACCGGAGATGAGTTGCTCCGGATGGAAGAGTTGGCGATAAGCCCCGGTTCTGACCTCGTCGATGACAGTCGGCTCGAGGTCCACAAAGATGGCCCTCGGCACATGCTTACCAGAACCAGTCTCGCTGAAGAAGGTATTGAAGGCATCACACGCCACTCCTACAGAAGTATCACTGTTGAAGACAAGAGATCTATA